GGGAACTCTCATGTATAAGCAAGAGTTGGAGCAATGGCCTCAAGTCTGTGACCACCCCACCCCCACTCTCTCTTGAGCCTTCTCTCCAATTCCTTTACATGCTTTTTGAGGGAAGGGGCTTTCTGCAAGGCTTGGGGGGGGGCACAGCTTGTACCTCACTCCTGTTTACATATTCCAGTGATCCTGGGAGAATATGTGTGATACATATAAGGTGATTCATAAATCATGAATTCATGATTTATTCATGATTCAAATTCATAAATTTGCTCATAATGAGCAAATAAATTTTCATCTTTCTAAATATTTGTTCACATGAACATTCAAGTTAAAATTTATTTGACAATTTTTACTACCAGCAACCTTTGTAGTCATATTCAAGGTTAGAGAAATAAAAATTTTGCCATTTAGTGCACACACACACACACACACACAAACACCCTCTAGTGATCTCTCCTTCCAGTAAGAAGTCACAACCCAAAACAGTAACAAGATGACTTGGACGACATACAAGGCAACAACAAAGTACTTCTTATTTATGCAAGCTGATTCTATGCCTTGAAAGACATAGCTGCAGTTTCCTCCTTGTTTTTCTTCCTCTAATTCTCTACCTTCCTATACACTAAACAAATAAATCTTCGCCTTATTACTATCCTTACCAAAAGGGAGGTAAATCTGAAGCAGTACACACATATAAGAACTGATAACATAAAGGAAAACGTTCTCTTTTGGTTTCCAAGTTCATTTCCTTAGAGGACCTGCCACTTTGGTACACCAAATTACCTCCCCCCCCCCATTTTTTTCACATAGGACAAAAACAAATCTTCCCTAACACTTTTATACTTTTTCGCCTAAGAGTAAAATACACAACTGCTCATCTTCGCACCTGGGCACCAACAGACCTTCCTTTAAGTAGATTTACACCCACTATCAGTTGCCAGATTCAATTTCTCTTTCTCAACCACTTTGCAGAATTTACGTCAAGGTCAATAAGTAACTAATGAGGACCAATGCAGAAATGCTGCTTACTTCCAAACTGGTAGCTACCGGATGAATAATTAACCACTCTCTACTTTCTATCAGGGATGCTTGTATTGCTAGGGTGAAGGTATCCTTTATGTCTAAAGGACATCATAAAACAGGCACTCGCCAGAAATATGCCCCCATTTATCACATGAAATGCCATGTGGTATTAGTGAGGTCGATACTGTTTGTTTAATGTATTTTGCTTTCCTGGGGGCTTGAAATGATTTGTTTTTGCAGCTGTAACAGAGTTAAATTAGGGATTTATCTTCAGCTTAGCTAGTTGAGCATATATAACCAGCGGCTATTAATTATCTGCCTGGAGGCCTTTGGTCATCTTCCCACAGCTTACAGCATCCACCACCAACAGCCAGATTTGATCCTCAAGTAATCAAATCTGGTTTCTCAGGAACTGAGGGCCACTGGGGGAAAAAAAGGTTTGTTTCTAGCCCCAAAATACTTGCCCCCAAATGTAAATTGTAATGGTGTGAGGATTTTTTTTTCCTTTCAAGAAATTGAGCAAGGAATTTCATAAAATAACAAAAACAAAAACAAAAAAACTTAGTGCAGACTAGTTCCAGACAACCATTATACCTACACATTAAAAACTACCTTTCTCTGCCATAAAGCGCCACCAATCCTTCCCTGTTCTCATCTCAGACTACATTTTCTGCCTTATCCAGAGCAGGAGTTGACCCCAAGGCTAAATCTCTCCAAAGCCTGGACTACAATTCTAACTCTCCACTACCTGTTTGTCGGGGTGTTGGTGAGAAAAAGGGAGCAGAAAAGTAAGGCAAGTGGGAGAGAAGGGGTAAGGTAAGGCAGAGGTAAAATGGAGGACAGTTCACACAAAATGAACCATGCATGCAGACACACCGGGGTGCAGTCCAGCTCACACAAGATGAA